TCCGTGTCTCACCGGAGACTTGCGTTGGGTGAAATCCACCTCGGAGCTGGTTCGTTGCACTTGTTAGTCAGGAAAATTCTGTCCCAGCAGGAGCCGCGTGGATTCGCGTTGCTGGAACTGGTTGGACTGGTTGTGGTGCTGGTGGCGGGTGTCTCCTGGGTGTCTCACCTCCTGCAGGTGCTGGGAGGGGTGATGCTGGTGAAGCAGAGCGTGTGTTTGGGGGGAAAACCACTCGCTGAGTAAACTCTAGACGAGGTCTCTGCAGAAACCGCCGTCACCCCGTCCCCCGCGAGCGGCCGAGGGCGCAGCCCATGGGTGCAGTCCTGGAGCTGAAACACCCACCCACGCAGCCTCCCCGGGCCTGAGAAGTGGCCCCCCGTGCCCACAGCACCTCCCACCCGTGGGGCTCCCACCCGTGGCTCTTGCATCTTGAATTTACCTTGGCTGGGCTGTGTGGCTTGTTTGCAGGGGGGTGGGGAAAGGGGCAGAGGCTGCACAGAGGGCAGGGTTTGGCTCTGTCCTCGTGGACCACTGCTGGCCCCGAGGTGTCCCCTCGGTGCCCCCAAAACCCCCCAGCAGCACCCTGAGCCTCTGAGCCAGAGCTTCACGCTCCTGCCATCGCTGCGCTCCCCGCTGCTGTGTCGCAACCCGAAGAGAGGAAATCTTATGACAAGTGGTGGTGAGAGCAGTTTCCTTTGCTCTGAAATGGTCTGTGAACTCTGGGACACTGAGGATGGATCCAGGGTTTGGCCCCAGAGGGTTCTTGACCCACTGCTCCGAGGGGGGCCAGCTGGTGCCATGTGTGTGTGGGGTGTTGCAGGTCTGGGATGTTCTGGATTCAGGCTGCTCCAGGTCTGGGATGCTCTGGGTTTGGGCTGCACTTGGTCTGGGCTGCTCCAGATTCAGGCTGGTCGGGGTCTGGGCTGCTCCAGATTCGGGCTGCTCCAGATTCAGGCTGCTCCGGGTCTGGGATGTTCCAGATTCAGGCTGCTCCAGATTCAGGCTGCTCCAGGTCTGGGATGTTCCAGATTCAGGCTGCTCCAGGTCTGGGATGTTCCAGATTCAGGCTGCTCCGGGTCTAGGATGCTCTGGATTCAGGCTGCTCTGGGTCTGGGATGTTTTGGATTTGAGTTGCTCTGGATTCAGGCTACTCCAGTCCTGGGATGCTTCAGAATTGGGCTTCTCCAGGTCTGGGATACTCTGGGTCAGGGAAGCACTAGATCCGGGCTGCTCTGGGTCTAGGATGCCCTGGATTTGGGCTTCTCTGGATTGAGGCTGCTCCAGGTCACAGATGCTCTGGGTTCCGACTGTTCTGGGTCTGGGATGCTGTGGATTCAAGCTGCTCCAGTCCTGGAATGATTCAGACTCAGACTGCTCTGGGTCTGGGATATTCTGGATTTCGGCTACTTCAGGGCCAAGGTGCTCCGGGATCAGGATTCAGTCTGCTCTGGGTCTAGGATGCTCTGGGTCTGGGATATTCTGGATTTGGGCTGCTCCAGGTCTAGGCTGCTCTGGATTTGGGCTGCTTCTGGCCATCGGGGCCAGCACGTGGGCACCTCTGTGGGGGTGCAGCTGCACGACCAGGGTCTCTGAGTGCCCATCCTTGGCTCCCAGAGCCTCCTGGCACAGCTGGGCTCCCACAGGCAGCTCTGCAGAATGGGGCAGGGTGCAAGTCAAAGGTCCCTCTGTGGCTGCAGATGTCCCCAGCGAGGCTGCTGCTGCCTGCTTGGGTCTGCTTCTGCCGACGTGTCCTGTAGTGGGAGGTCACTGGTTTTTCTCTCCAGCTGCAGTGGGGCAGCCCCCAGAAGTGGGGGGATCCTGGGGTTCCTCTAAACGGAGCCCCTGGAAACCTGATGGAGAACCTGGATCCTTCCTTCCTGTCCTCGACAGCTCTGGGCCATGAGGGCCAGCACCCAGGCCCCTCCGAGGGGCTCCATCCCGGTTGGGTTTGGCAGCAGCATCGTTCCTCTGACAAGTACCAAAGAGATGAGCTGTTGTCACCTCTGCCCAGGGTCTGCTGTGGGGTGACCCTCCTCATCTGGGCCACCTTAATGCCATCCACGTGGTTCTTGAGTGCTGTCGTTCAGCTTCACTCGTTAGATGGAATGCTGCAGCCCTCAGCACAAGGACAGGGACCTGCTGGAGCAGGGCCAGAGGAGCCCCAGCAATGCACCGAGGGGGGCACCACTCTGCTGGGA